AAACTCGGAAAACAATGGTCACCATTTTCTGGTAAGTGGCACCTGTGTTCTTTAAGTCAAATGGCATCATGACATAGCAATAAATTTCGTCACCAATATAAAATGAGGTTTTCTTTTCATCCTCCGGAGCCATCGGCACCTGGTGGTAACCAGAATATGCATCCAAAAGACTTAATCACTCATTTCCAGAAGCCACTTCAACCAGTTTGTCAATGCTTGGCATCGAAAAGCAGTCCCTGGGACAAACTTGGTTGAGATTTATGTAATCGATGCACATTCATCATTTACCATTTGCCTTTTTGACCAACACCGAGTTAGCCACCCATTCACAATAGTCAACTCTTCTGACGAAACCAACTTGCAAGAGTTTCTCAACTTCTTTCTTTATAACCTGAAGCCTCTCCCCCCTAAAGAGACGTCACTTTTGGGCTATTGGTTTCTTCAATGGATTAGTGCTAAGCTTGTGCTGAGAAACTAACGTTGGAATTCCTAGCATGTCTACTGAGGTCCAAGCAAAGACATCGTTGTTAGCTCGGAGGAAAGCTATTAATTCTTCTCTTTCCTTTGGGTTCAACCTAGTTCCAATTTGTGTTTTCCTACTGCGATCTCTGTCATCAATTTGCACTTCCCCTACATCCTCAACTGGGATAGCTCTAGATTCATCCTTTGGTCGGTTGTCTACTATCTCAATCCCTATTACCTGCTGATTATCATGAACTGGTTGGGGAATAGTTTCTAGTGTTTGATCTTTGCCTTTCTAAGGCCTTGTAACTGAGGTAATATAGCAATGTCTAGCCACCTCCTGGTTACCTCGTAATGTTGCTATCCCCATGGGAGTTAGGAACTTCAAGCAGAGGTGAGATTGAGAGACCAGAACTCAGATCTCGGTTAACGTGGGTTGTCCAATAACAGCATTGAAAGAGGATGCCATTTTCACAACTAGAAACCGAACTGAAGAGGTAACATAAGTTCGGCCACTCCCAAAAGCAACGTTGAGAGTGAGGACTCCTTTTACTTGAACAGGTTGGTTATTAAATCTATGGGACCATTGTACCTCTATAACAAAGCTGGATCCAGCCCAAGACTCTCAAAACAGTGAAAGTACATAATGTCTGGTGCATTCCCTAAGTCAACAAGGACACGTTGTACTTCACAATTGTTAATCATAACGGAAGTGACTAGGGGATCATTATGAGGTGTGACAACTATATCGAAATTAGCAGATGTGAAAGTGATTGGTTGATTTTTCCAGTCAGCGTCGTTAAACTTTCATTTCAGGGCTCGGTTTTGATGCTTTACCTCCCTAACATACAATTTCCTCTACTTGGAGCTCAAACCCCCTGCTTCCAATCCTTCGGTAATCATGTGTATAATTCTAGCCAATGGCGAAAGCAATGGTAGGGCTTGTTGATATCCCATTCCTTGTCTATTTCCTGTGTTACGAGATCCCTACAGTTGTGGCCCTTGTTCTCTAACAAACTTCAGTTGCTCGGATCTCTGGATGTATTCATTCAGCATTCCCTTTTGAGCTAGACTTTCCAACTCGGATCTCAAACTATTACATTGCTCCGTTGTATGATCATGATCTTGATGAAAATCACAGTATCTAGTATGATCACGTGTAGCAGCGGAACTCCTCATTGGTCCTGGTCGCCTCAAGTACATCTTATTCTTGACCTAGATGAATATTTGTGACCTCAGCAGATTGAAAGGGGTTCATGTAACTGGTGCTTTAGTAGTAACTTGCTGGGGTGGTATCGAGTTCAGCTTTTCGAATTTCGGTGTGAAGGTCATCATCGGACCTCGGTTTTGCACTGTCTTCATCCATTTTCTGCTCTGAACCTTATCTCTCCAATCTGGGTTTTGGTTCTTGGGAAGAACTTGTTTCTGTGATAGGGCATATTCCTCAGCAATTATGAATTTCAACGACCTATCATTGACTTCATTAAAAGTAGCAGCAGGATGCTTGATTAAGCTATCTCTGAATCTCTCGTGCTGGAGACCTTGAATTACAGCTGCAATTCCCACGACTTGGTTGAATGAGCTGACTTCAAGGACTGCATCGTTGAACCGGCTCATGTAATTCTTCAAAGGTTCTCTTTCTCTCTGTTTGACTCGCATCATTTCAGAAGTGGTTTTCCTAATCAACCTTCTACTGGAAAACTTTGTGGCAAAAGCAGATGCCATTTCTGAATATGAGCTGATAGATCTGGGGGGCAAACTATAATACCAGGTTCGAGCATTGCCACGGAGAGTGGAGGGAAAGATTTTGCACATCAATGCATCAGAAGCGTTCTGAGCATGCATACAGGAGTAGAAGGCATGGAGGTGATCATCTGGATCTTTCATCCCATCATATGTCTCAAGCTAAGGTATCTTGAAGCCAACGGGGTAAGGTTCCAATGTGATATTAGTGTTCAGAGGATGAGGTATGGAATCTGTGTTATGATGTGGAAGTGAGGCACCTCATTGCTCAGCTACCAGTTTTTCTAAGCTGTCCAGTTGTCGTGTGATATCATCAGGTAGAGGGTGTGGAATTGGGGCTGCACGAGACTGAACCTGAGACTCACTAAAAGCAGGAACATGTTGAACTGGCTGAGGATCTTGCTATTGAACAGGGGGTTGTCAAGTACGGTTGAGCAAATTGATGAGGGGATTGCCAAGATTATTCCGAGCTAGAAGCTAAGCCAAAACTAACTAGAAGACACCAAATTGTTGTTGCATGGCAACAAGCTAAGCTGTAACTACGTCTTGATTAGCAGTGGAAGCTGAGTTGTGAGGTTGGTTTTCATCTTCGCCTTCTGCTCAGTCAACAGGAGGGAATAGATTCGAGATCGGAGGTGGGAGGTGAAGTGGAAGGTTGTTGGGGGGTTGACTTTGACCTTGTCTAAAAGGAAGAACAGCAGTTGCCACTTTTTCAAAATTCATGGCCACCAAAGAAAAACAGCAATGAGTGAGGATATGCCCGGATCATATCAGTGATGGTGGTGGTCATTACACTGGCGAGTGAACAACGGAATAGGAGTAATTGAAGTTGGATCTATTGGTTCGCGACAGCGGTGCTCTTTACGCGACGATGCAGCGATTTGGCAAAATCTCAATCATCATCCAACTGAAACAAATCTGCAGACCAAATCTACACTAGCTACAGATCACAAGTGGGTGACGACAGGCTGCATTAGGTGTGGATTGAAGGCCCAAACGCATTTCGCAGATTTTTGTAAAAAAGTAAAGATTGGAGAGGCCTAAATGCATTGTCGATTCTGATAAAGAAGAAACAAATTTAAGAAGCCCAAAGGCCGTGGATCTAAAAGGCCCGGAGAGTTGATTTATGGAATGTTCCTTTTAGGGTTTCTTTGTTTGGGTATAAATAGAGGGCTTTAGGTTAGAAATGGGGGGTTCTTTTTGGTTAAGTCTGGTGTTGACAGCGGAGAATAGAAGAGATTTTCTGCTGGAAGGAATCTGTTTTTGTGAATGGAGATTGTCAAGGTTGCAAGAGGGATTTCATTTCTGGAGTCGTCACTGTTAGGTAATGTCTGAACAGAGGATTTTTGTTAGGAAAATGGTGAAGGAGATGGTGTAAGCTTGATCCCATGGGTGGGATTCCTTCCATCAGATTCAAATCTATTTTTCCTTCAAAAATTCGCGGTGTTTGTTTTTATTTTTTTGTGGGTGTTTGTTTTTCGGAGATTTGATGTTAAGATTGAATATGTTTCGTTGGAAAATGAATGAAAAAAAAATATTATTCAATTTATTTCCTGATGAAAATGTTTATCTTTTTCTCTTTTTTTGGAAATAAGAAGTTAATGTGATGAACCGTAAATTTCTCTTTATGTCACCTGGACTTTGGTTTTCATTTAAGGTTTGATCTGTTTTGTGCTCATTTATTTGATGGATTGTGTTTTTGGGTCGGATCAATTCAATAGATTCAGTTAAAAAAAAAAAAAAAAACTAAAAAAAGGTTAAAACAAAAAACAGTTAAAAAAAACTTAAAAAAAGGTTTTAAACAAAAAAAATATATATAAGTAAAAGTATGATTAGGAATTAATTAGGTTAATTAATTTAATTTATAATTAATGAAATTAATTAATTTTAATTAAAATAAATTAATTATTTGTTGATTTTAATTTGAGATTATTTATTGATTTTAATTTGAGATTATTTATTGATTTTAATTTGAGATTATTAAATTTATTTAATGATTTTAATAAAAGTTAATATATATGATTAATTAATTTTAATTAATATTAAATTAATCATTTAATTAAACTAATAAACGTAATTAATTAACTTAAATCATTAAGTTCTTTTAATTTGGGGTAAGTCAAAATTATCTTTATTTATTTCAAATTTTACCCAGGGCTTTTGTAATCAAGCAATTCAGGCCCAAGGTTTCAAACTTTTTTTTATCAGTCTTTTATGTTTTTGAATTTAATCAAATCAGTCTTTTATGTTTCAAATTTAATCAAATTAATCCTTTTAATTTTTATTTGTGCTTATGATGCACACATGTCTTTGATTTTTGTTCATTTTAGTCCAAATTTAAAAAAAAATGTTTCAATTTGGTTTTTTTTTTTTTTTTTTTTTTTTTTTAAGTTTGCCCATTAAGACTTAAACATAAACATAATGAATAAATTGAATTAAAACCATAATGTTAAAATATGCAATCGTGTTTAAACGGAAGATTTTGTGAAGTGCGTGTATACCTTTTCTCATTCCTAACCGAACCTTCAAACCCCAATCTCTGCGCAGACCTGTTTTAAAGTGACTTGTCTCACCTTATAATTTTGACGAGTGGCGACTCTTTTTCTTATATGTTTCACACTTAATGTTTTAAGTTCTGTGTGATTGTCAACAGTGTTGAACTTTATTAAGAAGCACATTATTTGTTGCTTTGGAATCCCATACAAAATTGTGAGTGATAATGGAACTCCTTTTGTCAATTATCATGTGTAAAGATTGTTGGACACTTACAAGATCAAGCATTGAAAATCCACTCCATACTACTCCTAAGGCAATGGCCAAGCTGAAACAACTGATAAAAGCTTACTAAGGAATTTGAGTAAGATGGTCCATGAGTATGAAGGATGTTGGAGCACTCATTTGCAAGACACTCTTTGCACTGATTGGACATCCTCCAAGACTGCCACAGGTTATCACCTTATTTTCTAGTATATGGCTGTGATGTTGTCTTTCCTAATGAAGTCTTGATTCCAACTGCGCATATCTTGGCTACATTTAAATTAGATAACAATGTTGACATTTGTGGCCAAAGGCAGGTTGAAGACTTAGAATCCTTTGAAGCACTTCGCTAGACAACACAAGAAAAGGCTCAAAAATATCAGTCCAAGATGACGAATGCCTACAACCGTGTAGTCAAAGCTAGAGTTTTCACAATTGGGCAAATCATTCTCAAAGCCTTCAACCATATGAGGAAAAACATTGTTGGCCCATCCAACTTTGCAGTAAATTGGGACAATCCCTTCATTGTTGCGAAAGCATATTATAGTAGGTATTATTGTCTCAAAACTCATGAGGAAGAGTCATTATTGGACATTGTGAATGCTAAATGGCTCAAAACAATCTATTGCTAGGCTTTGCCAGTATTGCTCCTTGAAAAGTAAGCACTCTTCATTTTGTAATTTTACCATTGGTATTGTATTTATTCTAACCAAGAAGGTTGATTCTATTTATCTTTTTCCATCATATGTAAGGTGCATATAACATTCTTTTGTTACATTTGGTGCACTATTTATTAGCTTGCTTGCACTTCATTTATTTCACCTTATTACCATGTAAGGACAGGGAGTGTTGATAAAAAAAAAAAAAAAAAGGGGTGCAACATGGAAAAGTATATATATCAAAAAAAAGAAAAGAAAAGAGAGACAAAGAAAGAGAAGCGCACCATGTAAAATAATTATAAGATAATGTCTTGATCCACGCTTCATTGTATGTAAATCGCATAATTATATTTGTCCAAGTGCCATACATGGCACACTAGAGAATGACAAGTCATGAAGAAAGCAAGCAAACAAGTAACAAAGTCTAGACTTCATTGGACATGAAGATGTTCAACCCAAAATAAACACAACAAGAGGGTTACATCATGGCGATATCGCTAACGGTCATCACATTATTAGAAAAGTAGAATAAAAGTCATGCATGACAGAAAGAAGGCTAGGGCATATGCCTGCTCATGGTTGGAAAAGATCAAGCTCATCTCCATAAGCTTTGGCAATTTTGACGCAGGTTTAGCGAAGCTGAGCAATATCATAGGAACCTAAGCGCTCCTTTTCTTGGTTAAGTGATTCCAAGTATGCCTTGGTTGATTTTAGCCCTTCTTCCAACTGAAAGACGATCTCTTTCATCTCAACCAAGGACTTTTCCATCTCTTTAACGCGCTTCACATGTTCCTTAATCCGCTCATCTAAGTTCCCGGCTATGTCACTTCTAGCCATGCCAAACTTGTCCTTGTCGAGGTATGCCTTTGCTAGATCTAACAGATGTGCTCAAATGGTGCCAACTTTGAAGTTTATACTCTCAGCATGGCATCCCTACACAAGTAAAAGAAGTCCTCATTCATTTCAGTGAAAGGGGTTCCCTCCATGTGTTACATGGTTGTGCAAAGGTTTGTTGATAAGCTGAATTCATATAGATATTAATGTGGAATTTTTATCTTGATATTATTGATATTTAGATGGATTTTATATGATTTTCATTCTTTGTGCAGAAAAAGACTTAAATGCATAAAAATAAGAGTTTTTGGGATTAATTGAACATCTTTTGAAAGTTAAGGGACTTAATTGCAGGAAGAAAGCGCTTCTTTGGGACCTAAATGAATGAATCTCAAGCTTTGAGATCTAAGTGCCCATCATACAAAATCTAGAGGACCATATTTGCAATTTCACCATTGAAGAAATTGGTAAGAAGGCTAAAAACCCGACATGATGATGGTGGTGTGCGCTAAACAGAAGGTGTCACTACCTTGTTGAAGGTGTTGACTCCTTACGCGATTTTCACAAAATCTATAGTTAATTTATTATTATTGGTGTGGATCGTACATCTATTCTAATTAGGGTTTCTAAAATCCTATAAATACCCATCTAAATTCAAAATTAAAGGGGGAGAGGCGGGTGGCAGCACTCTTTTAGGTGTTTTTAGAGGTGAAGATAGAAGATCCATCAACAATAAAAGTTCAAGGATTTCAATTACCTCAAATTGGGTTTTATTTTTCCTTAAATATTTTTATGTTCATAACTATGATTTCAAATTTTATTATTTTTATTATAAACTAATTTATTTTTATTAAGGCTATGATATAGCCTAATCAATTTAATATAGATTTTGTGATTTTTGTATTTCCAATTAAAATTATTCACATGACGAGTTTATATTATTAAGTTTAATGCATTGAGAGCTTGATCACCTTTTAATTGATTTAGTAATTTATGCATGAACTTAAAAAAGAATTGCGTAAATTAGACCAATAATAATATAAACTGAGTATTAGACTATGAGGCCAAGAGGTAATTAGCTCACATATGGTAGTGGAAAAAGAGAAGAGAGTTAGGAGCTCCTCTTTCTTAAACTAGAGGTTTCCATAAAATTTAATACTCATTAATTTATTTAAAATTACATAGAGATATGACTATTTTAACAAATAAGTGAAGGATTAACTTGACTTGAGAAAACTAGTTAATTAATTTAGGAAAATTCGCCATCATATGTAATAACACTTAACAAATTGGTTTTAGAAGTATATTAATCTAAAATTTATATTGATTGATTATGGTGAAGTCGAAGCCTTAATACCTCATATCTTGGTTAGTTTTATTTTAATTGTTAGTTTCTTTTTGTTATTTTAATTAAAATTCCTTCTTTTCAATTGTTCAAATAAATTTAGATTTATTATTTTGGTACTTAATTAGACACAATCCTTGTGAGTTCGATCTCTTCTCATCATTATATTACTTAGAACAACTAGTACACTTGCTAAAGTGATTTTAGTGCATCATTTGTAAAGGCATCCTTAATCATCACTTTCTTGGCTCTATTGTGTGCCGTCAATTCTAGGATGGTCTCCAAGAGATGATGTGCCCATGTCTCCAACATTGGATGTACTTCAAACTTGCCCACTAATCGAACAATGTTAGTAAGCACCAGACCAAATCGGGTAAGTGATAAATCCCTAGCTTCATTCAATCTTGTTTAAGTCCTTAAGCAGTTTCACAACGAAGTCATCAGCCTCACTTAACTTAGTTGGAACCAAGGATGGCTTACCACTATGCATGCCTTTGTTGGGAATGGACTTCTTTAAAGCATCACCTACATCCAATTCAAACTCCTCAAGTGCAACTTTGTTTATATCTATATTACCACGGAAGCCTTCAATCTCGCCTTCTTGCTCAAAGTTATTGTCACTCTCGAATGACTCATCGCTGTCACTAGATTCATCATTATTGCTTTCACTAGACTTAGAGCTAGTTTATTCAACAGCCTCCTTACCTTTTCCTTCATTAGTAGTGATTGTAGCCTTGGCCTTACTTTTTTCAGCACCTGACGAAACAACCAAATGAGGCAATCAGTCAACAAAGAATTTTGCCATTAGGTCGAATAAGGTACTAAAACATGAATCACGATTGTCTATTATCTATAGGACCTTTCTCAACAGTAGCAATGCCAGCATTATTTTTAACCAAGGCTCCTTTGAGACTAGTTCGAAATCACTATCTTTGAACATAGATAGTTCACTAATTGGACGTGGCTATACAAAAATGGCCAAGTAGCAAAGGCAACTTTGACAATGAGAAAAATGTCCTTCGACTCTTATGAAAGTGGAAAAGCTCATACCTCCAGCACTGTCATTTCTAGTTGAGCCTTTGTTGCTTTGGATTTCTTTGCTATGTTGGGAGTGCCATTGTCACGCCCCAAAACCGAGAGTGACATAGACGCCGTGCATCAGTTATGAGAGGATCCCACAAATGCATAAGGCTCAGAACTTGCTAATTCATAACTAACAATCCATATAAACTTAAATCAATATCTCAAAATAAAATCTAGTTTACAAAAGAATGATCTATATCTCAAAATCTATATCCAAAATACAAATGGCTAGCCTTCTAACTTATCATTCCCCTTAGTTTCCCACGTCTCGCGTTTCACTACCTGAAATGGTGGACGAGGAAAAACTATGTGAGATAACTCAGTAAGTAAAAATATGGATAGCCCTCACTGAAATTTAAAGCATGCCACATAAACATTTCAATTTCAAACAAGAAGAAATCTCAGTTATAAATTATGTATGCATATTAAAATTCATTTTGTGGTCTTCTCAATTAGTCATGGTCAATGACTTGCGCCTACTTGAGTTTTCCGAATCTTTCTCTAATAGAGCTTACACTTGATATAGTACTTTGCTCCCCATCTTTATTCATTCTTAGGATGAAATGGTTGAGCAATTATGTCAAAAATATTTTCAAAGTAAGGAGCACATCACAATTCTTGATCTCCATAATAGTCGCCAACGTACTAGTGAAGATTTTATGGTTTATGTAAAAAGATTTAGAGATTTGGCACATGATTGCTATGGTGGCCATATGCTAAATCTTTATTGGTGGAAAGTTGCATTAATAACATATTTCCAAAATAATGTGCTATTCTTGAAAATATAGGGATTAGCTAATTTACAAGGCTACTTAATATTGCCAGGAGAACATCCATTTCTATCAAAGTAATTTTTGTTGGCAAGTCTATAGTGAAGTCAACAGAAAAGAAAGCTGCAGCTCCCACCTTGGCTATCTTTGTCTATGGCTAAGGACAAGGCTAGAAGAAGCATATTTGTTTAATTGTCACACATGGCACACAAGAAAATCACAAGTCACAAAGAAAGCAAGTGCTAAAGCAAATAAGTCCAACGTGAAGATGTTCAACCCAAAATCGAGCACAATAAAAAGGTTGCATCATAGCGATGTTGCCAATAGTGATCATATGATAAATGAAGCAAAATGAAAGTTGTTTATTGTCACGCCCCAAAACCCAAATTTGAGGCGTGACAGACGCCGTACACTCGTGAGACGGGTCCCACAAGTGCACAAGGCTCGGAACTTATCATATCACACTCTGATACCACCAAAATCTGAAGATCAAATTATAAAATTCTCTCTGATATCATAAAATCTCCAAATACAAGATCATGATCTATATCTCAAATCTATATTCACTTTACAAAATGGCTAGCCTTCTAACTCATCACTTCCCGTGGTTTCCCCGCCCTCGGATTCACTTCTTGAAATGGTGGACAAGGAAAACTATGAGATAAACTCAGTAAGTAAATATGGAGTGCCCCTTATTTAAACCTATAGCATGCCACATGTGCAATCACGCAAAACGGAT